GCCGGCCGGGCGAGGGCCAATTCTCACTGAACCCTAGAACCCTGGCCCCGGGCTGCGGCTGCCGAGCCTCAAAGCTCCTGAGGGCGAGCTGGGGGAAAGCGAGTCTCCAGCAATCGCTGTCTGGGTGGGCGGCAATGAAAGAGGACGTCGTTGACCCCGCCGCTTCTGTCCCCGTGCCCTCGCCCAGAGCTGCTAAACCAGAGGGCACAGGGCAGCCCTGACAATCCCGGAGCACCGAGCTGGAGAATCTGCAGGGCCTGAGGCGCAGACCCCGCCCCTTCGCCCAGCCCCATCGGAGGGATCGGCCCAGAGGGCGGGAGCAGGGAGGAGAGATGGGGTCCTGGCCCCCAGCCCCTCCCCTTTCTCTGCCCGGCACAAACCGGGAGCTGCCCCAGCGCCTTCTTCCCCGCCCAGCCAAACAAGACCCGCCGAGGCAAAGCCATTGGAAAAAGCCCCGCCCTCCGGCCGGCTACCTCCAAACCCTAAATCCGCAGCGCGCGGCCGCCAGTCACTGCCTACTGGTACGCATGCGTAAATGCGAGCAGAGCGCATGCGCATTCGTGGTACTTAGCTTGTCGCTGAAGGTGTTTTCCGTTCCCGGACGTTTTGGAGTTGTCGGCCTGCTTAATGGGGAGTAAAAGTAAGCCCTGGAAGTATGAGTACACTGATATTTTTTATCACAGGAGGCAAGCACAACACATAAAGGGCACGACGACACTCCTTGAAGAAGCTGAATCTAAATTTAGGATTAGTTTTAAAAAAATAGCGACTGCTTCTTATGCTAAAGTCCAGATTAAATAGTGTTAGGCAGCTTTAGAACTTCGCGTTGGCTTCTGGGGAATGTAGTTTTGATACAGTTTGCGCCACTGTTTGCGACAGAAACTACATCTCCCAGGAGCCACCGCGACGTTGCCTGTAGCAGCCTGCAAATCAAAGGTGCTGGAGACAGGAGTTGAGTCGGTCGGTCTGGTGAGTATTGTAGCCTTCGTTATCATTTTTCCTTTGATAGGAATTTTTCTTCCTCTTTCCTTTAAGATTTTGGAGACTAAGCCATATAGGATTTCTGCCTTTGCGTAGTTCTTTTGGGACTTTTTCCACTACGTCTTTATGTGAGAACTCTTATTCATGCCCAAGCTTGTGCGGTAAGGCGAGGATTTAGAGGTCGCAACCCTGGGGGTCAAAGGGAGCGGCCTAAGAGAGGTCAGCAAGAAGGATATTGTGGAAATGGGGGCCCCGCGCTGCTGCCTCTGTTTCTGCACTTATCCTGTGGACACGCGCAGGATGGATCGGGGTCCTTGTGTCCTTTCAAATTTGTTTACTTTTACATAAGATTGTTCTGTTCTCAGTCAAGTGAAATCCTAAACAAGGTTTTGGAAGCAAGTGTGTTTTGTATGAGACTAAAGGGAAAAGAACTCCCAGTATTCTTAGATACGAATTTTTGCAGGCTTTGAGGATACTTTGTGAATAATCATAACAACAACAACAACATAATAATAATAATAATAATAAATGCAGTATAAAAATCCCTTGAGTTTATTATCGTTAAATGATTTAGTCGTTTCTTTAAAATTACTCCTGTGTTTTTGAAAGCCATTATTGAGAAGATTCAATTTTGAATGGCTATGAATAGATTGATTAGGTTTTAATTCTTCACTTTGCAAAATTGATGTATTTTTAAACTTCTGGGCACTGAGTATATACAACAGTAAAACAGACGCCCTAACTCTTTAGAGAAACCTATCAGCTAGAAGGACATCTCTTAGCCCACTCTTGGGAAGTCAGGGAAATCTTCATCCCCAGGAAGGGCGAGGACCAAATGTGTACCCCATGTATTCAGCCAACGAATACCTATTGAGTCCCCGCTATAGCAGTATTTTGAAATGTAGCATTGAGCACAGTACTGTATATCCATACTCTCATAAAGCTTGCATTCAACTAAGCCGGGCGAGTTAAAAAGTATGTAAAATATATACTGCAGTAAGTGGAATGCAGGCAGATCCAGTCGAGAAAAATAAAAAACAACTGGGAAGGAGGATGAAGAGTGACAAGTTGTGGGGAGTAAGGTTCGCTTTTAAATTAAGTGGTCAGAGAGATGAGGTGGGGGGGAGCAAGCAGGTAGATTCCTGGGCGAAGATCATCCAAGTGAAGAGAAGAGCTGTCACAAAGGCCTGTGAGCAGGAGCATGCCTGCACATTTGAGAAATAGCAAGGAGACTCCTGAGACTGAGACTCGAGTCTCACGAGGAGCCTCCAGTTCACTGAGTGCAGGAGACAATAATAAGATGAAATCCCAAAGTTATAGTGGTAGGAGTTCGTGTAGGTGATCGAAAGCCTTTGACTTTGATGGAGATGGGAAGCCGGAGGGTTTTAGGCAGATGAAGGTATGACCTGACTTTTAAAAATAATTTTTTCTTTTAAATTGTGTTTAGCAAAGACCATGGAAGCAAAGGGAGAAGCAGAGAGACTGGTTATGAAGCCAAAGTAATAATCCAGGTGAGAGATGATTATGGTGGTTTGAACCACCGTAGTAGTAGATTTATTTTGGTACTATAGCCAAAAGAAGATTAGAAGTGAGAGTAAAAGAGTGCAAAATGAGTCTGCAGTCTAACCTGAGCAAATAGAGGGAATCTATTGTCCTGGAAGGGTGCAGATTTGTATGTGGGTCAAGGAAGGGGTCAGTGATTTAGTTTGGCAGTGTTAAGTTTGAGATGCCTCTAAAATGTTGAAGTTGAGGTGTGGTTGAGGGAGCCCAACACATGAATCTGCAGAAGGAGAAGATCTACCTATGATGTAATTTTGGATATCATAGTATTTTCCCCCAGGGCTGAGGATTGAACCCAGGGCCTTCACAGCAGGGCTCAAACCTGTGATCTTCCTGCCTCAGCCTCCCAAAGGGCATTAGTAATGTTTTAGTATATGTGCTGCTGAAGCAAGCACTAAATTAGTCATGTTTTGATAGTAGTTGTTGATGTCACCAAAGGAAGCAGTTTATGGGAGTTTGCGTATACTGTATTAGAAAGGTGGTTATGAAGTCAGTGAAGTGGTTATACAGTCAGTGAAGGAAGGAAATCTTTTAAGTGTGGTATCCTAAAGGCCAAGTGATGAAAAAGATTGTGAGAGGTATGATGTTATGTTAAATGTCTATCTAGGTAAAATAAGATGAAGATTAATAATTGAGCACTAGGGCTAGGGATTTAGCTCAGTGGTTCTACCTGCCTCACAAGCACAAGGTCCAGAGTTCAATCCCTGGTACCTAAATAAATAAATAAATAAAAATTGATCACTCCTTTTTACCATTGTGGAGATCATTAAATTAAAACTATAGGAGGCCATTTTCTAAAAAAAATGTATTGGTAACATAATGATAACGTTCATCATGGGGAATTTTGTACCCATACATTCCCAATTCCCCTCCCTTTCAAGCCCTCTTCCCCTCATTTAAAAAAAGCTTTGTTTCCATTTTTAAATTTTTTTTCCTTGTCCCTTCCTTCCATTTTCCCCTCCCCGCCTTGTTCTCCTTCTTCTTTGAACGTTTTTTTTTTTTTCCTATTTCGCAATATGTAGTATGCATTTTGGTCCTTATTTACACTTTCAGATTCTCACACCAGAGAAACAAATGTGTCCAGTTTCTTTCATTTAAGAATATGGTCTCAAGGTGCATCCATTTAGGTAGAAATGTTTCAAGGTTATCCTTTTTTATGTTAGAATAATGCTCCATTGTATAAAAAACCCCACATCTTCTTTATCCACTCATCGATTGATGGCATTTAGACTGTTTCCAAGATTTAGCTATTACAAACTGTGCAAACATGGGTGTGCATATAACAATGCTTTTAATTCTTTCGGGAAGATACCAAGAAGAGGTATAGCTGGGTCAAATGGAACCTCTAGTTTTAGTTTCTTGAGGAATCTCCACACTGATTTCCACAGTGGTTATACCAGTCTATACTCCTACCAACAGTGGAGAAGTTTTCCTTTTTTTTCAACAGCAGCTTCAGCATTTGTTATTGTTTGATTTCTTGATAGCTGCTATTCTTCCTTTCTTGAGATGGAATCTCGTCATTGTTTTAATTTGTATCTTTTGAATGACCAGTGATACTGAACATTTCACATATATATTTGACATTTCTACTTTTTTATCTGAGAAATGTCTGTTCATTTCAGATGCCCATTTTTGGATTGGGTCTTTAAATTTGGCAGGTCTGATTTTGAGTTCTTTATATATTCTAGATATTAGTTCTTTGTCTGAGGAACAGCTAGCAAACATTTTTCCCACTCTATGGGTTGTTTTTTCACTCTGTTGGTGGTTTCTTTTGCTATGCAAAAGCTTTTAAAGATGAGATCCCAGTTGTTGACTCTTTGTGATATTTCTTGTGTGACCAGGTTTTTGTTAATAAAGTCTTTGCCTACACTAATGTCTTTAAGAGTTCTACATGTTCTATCTTCCAGCAGATTGTGTTTCTGTTCTAATATTTAGATCTTTGATTCATTTTGATTTTAGTTTAATGCATGGTGAAAGATATGGGTCTAGTTTTAATCTTTGGCATATAGAAAGCTAGTTTTTCCAGCACCATTTATTAAAGCGTCTTTCTTCCAGTAAAGATGTTTGGCTCCTTTGTCAAAGATAAGAAGGCTGAGTATATTCAGAGTTGTTTCTGCATCTTCTAATCTGTTCTACCGATCTTCTGGTCTGTGTTTTATTTTGTTTTTTTTTTGGCCAGCATCATGCTGTTTTATCATGATAACTTTGTAGTATAATTTAGAGTCAGAGATTGTGATGCCCCTCTGCCTTGCCTTTGTTGCCCTGATTGATTTTGCTATTCTAGGTCTCTTCTGGTTCCAAGTAAATTTTAAGATAGTTTTTTCTTTTTCTTTCTTTTTTTGGGCGGGGGGATTGAACTTGGGACCTTGTTCTTGTGAGGCAGTCAGCTGAACTATTGAGCTAAATTCTCGGCCCTAAGATTGTTTTTTCTAATTCTGTGAGATATAGCATTGGTATTTTGATCGAGATTGCATTAAATCTATATAACAATTTTGGAAGTATGGCCATTTTCACTATATTAGTTCTTCCTACCCAAGAACAATGGATATCTTTCCATTTTCTGATATCCTCTTCACTCTCCTTTTTCAGAGTACTCTAGGTTACAACGTAGAGGTCTTTTACTCCCTTCATTAGATTGATTTCTAGATATTTCATTATTTTGTATGCTATTGTGATAGGTGTTGTTTCTCTGATTTCTCAGTGACTTTATTTTAAATCTAGAAGTCTTGGGTGGAGTTTTTGGGGTCTTGTATGTACAGTATCATGTCATCTGCAAATAATGATGGTTTAACTAACTTCTTCCTTTCCTACCTTATTTCTGCATCTATTGAGATGTTTTGTCCTTGGGTCTGTTAATATGGTGTATTACATTTATTGATTTGCATATGTTGAACTATCCCTGCCTCTCTAGGATGAATCCCAGTTGGTCATGGTATATAATCTTGAGGATGGACTGCATTCTGTTTGCTAGTATTTTATTGAGGATTTTTGTATATATTTTCATTAGGTAGATGGGCCTGGAGTTTTCTCTCTCTCTCTTTTTTTTTTTTGGTTGAATCCTTCTCTGGTTTTGGAATCAGGATAATGCTTGTTTCCAGGAATGAGTTTGGGAATATTGCTTCCTTTTCAATTTCATTGAAGAGTTTGAGAAGGAGTGGCATTAAGTCCTCTCTAAATTTTTTATAGAATTTAGCAATGAGTCCACCAGGTCGTGGACTCCCCCTGCCCCCATTAAGTTTACTAGTACTTTTTAGGTATACAGTAGAGTTACGTTCATCATTGGGATCTTGTACCTTTACATGATGTATCTTGGTTCTTATTATTTCCCCATACCCCTGCCCTCCCTTCACCCCCTCCACCCTTCCTTATTTAAAAAATTTTGTTTCCATTTTTTCCTTTTCTCATATTTTTTCTTTTCCCTTCTTTCCTTTCCCCTACCCTTCCACTTCCCCTACTTCTTCAGTCCTTTTCTTCCTATTTCACATTATCAGTTATACCATTTGAACCTTATTTGCACTTTTAGGTTTTCATACCAGAGAAACTATTTCCTCCAATCTGGGGGCACAGAGAGTGCTCTCTCCCATCTGAGGCCAGAGGGCAGGGCGACCTCAGAGACTGGGATAGGATTTCCCTGGTTTCAGGAACACAGTGGGCTGGCTTGACACTAAAAAAAAAAAAAAAAAAAAAAAAAAAAGACTATAGCCTCAATATGCATCCATTTAGCTATACATGTCTCTAGTTTCACATCCTTTATGGCTGAGTAGTACTCCATTTTGTTTCAAAAAACAACAACACATCTTCTTTATCCAATCTGCAGTTGATGGGCAATTGGGCTGCTTCCAAGTTTTAGCTATCACAAACTGTGCTGCTATAAACATGGATGTGCATATATCACTGTGGTATGATTCTTTTAATTCTTTTGGAAAGAAACCCAGCAGAGGGATAATGGGGTCAAATGGAACCTCTAATCCTAGTTCTTTGAGGTATCTCCATATTGACTTCCACAGTGTTTACGCCATTCTTCACTCCCACCAACAATGGAGAAGGGTTACTTTCTCCCTACAACCCCGCCAACATTTGTTATTGGTTGATTTCTTGATAGCAGCCATTCTTTCTGGGGTGAGGTTGTTTTCATCTGCATATCTTGAGTGACCAGTGATGTTGAACATTTTTTTATATATTTCTTTGCTGCTTTAACTTCTTTGTCTGAGAAAGATCTGTTCATTTCAGATGCCCATTTTTGAATCAGATCTTTTTATTTGGGGGGTCTTGTTTTTTTGAATTCTTTATCTATTCTAAATAGTCTGAGGAACTGTCCTCCTTTGTCTGAGGAACAACTGGTAAAATTTTTTTCCCACATTGTAGGATGTCTGTTAGCTCTGTTGGTTATTTCTCTTGCAGTACAGAAACTTTTTAATAACACAAGATTCCAGTTGTTGATTCTTTGTGCTAGTTCTGGTGCTACTGAGGATTTGTTCATAAAGTCTTCTTATTCCAATGTCTTCAAGAGTTCTACCTAGCTTATCTTCCAGCAAGTTTAGTGTTTCTGTTTTGATATTTAGATCTTTAATCCACTTGGATTTTAGTTTAGTGCATGGTGAAAGATAGGGGTCTAGTTTTAATGTTTGGCAGGTTGAAATCCAGTTTTTCCAACACCATTTATTAAAGAGGCTATCTTTCCTCCACTGAGGATGATTGGCTCCTTTGTCAAAGATGAGGTAGCTGAGTACATTTGAAGTTGTTTCTGAATCTTCTAATCTATCTGGACTTTTCTTTGTTGGCAGGTTTTTAATTACATCTTGAATTTTATCAACTGATACTGATTTATTTAGAATTTTATATCTTCTTGATTCATCTTTGGTAATTCATATGTATCTAGGCATCTGCCCATTTCTTCTCTGTTTTCCATCTTATTAGAATATAGGCTCGAAGTAGTTATTGGTGATCTGTA